GATGGTCATTTTTATTTATATCATTGGTATTCTTAATATATTCTTTTTACATAGATATATTTATTGTAAATATATTTATAATCAACTATGTTATAGTTGTGATATCTTGGACTCGTTTTGTTGTTATTTCTTCACGTATTTATGAAGATAAATATTGTTCTATGGCCATAGAAGATAAAGTTTGAATTATTTGTAGCTGGAGGTTTGACCTTGGGGATTTAAATGAGTAAGAAATGAAGGTGAAATATCCTATTGTTGATTAAGGTGAAATATCCTTTTATTGGTTGATGTTATGATGATGCTCATTTATCCTGACTAGTCACTACAAGTATAATTCAAATTTTATTGTATCATGAAAATTTAATATATGATCTGTATATATATTTATATATATATATATATGTTTATATATATATATGTGTGTGTGTGTTTAATATTGATTAGAAATAATTCTGTATATTCTTTTGAGTTATTATATTTATTGGATATTGTTCTTACTCCTTTCTTTTCTTTGTTTTTATAAATTAAATATATTACAAAATAGATGGATCTACTTTGGATTCCAGATCATTTTGCAGTTGATATAGCTGTGGTATTCCTTGAAAAGAATTGGAATGTGGAGGCTATTTGATGAATCTATTACAATTTTTGTAAATTTATTTTCACTATCAATGTAAATATTGTAATAAAAGTGAAAGAAAAATATATTGTGTAAAATAATACATTATTATAAATATTTTAGAACGATATATCATGTATTAAACTCACAAAATATGATTGTTCTTTACCTTTATCTTTATTAAAAAAAAAAGTATTGTTAACGATATAATTGTGAAAATATTATATAAGAAAATATATAATTATTATTATATAAATCGGGCGTTACAGATTTAATTTATTTTTACAATAAACATATGTGTCATAATTACTTATTGGTTAAAATACATTTTTAGATTTTATAATTTTACTTACTTTATTTTTTAGTTATTAATAGTTTAAAATATACATTTTCAATATATATACTTATTTTTTTCAATCATTTTTAGTCCATATAGTTTAATATATATTTTTTAGTCCTTAAACTTACAATTTTTTTAATCTTTTAATTTATATCTTAAAGTATAGAGACTAAAAAATACAATATTAATTTTTTAGTCCTTAATAGTTTTTAGTGCTTAAAATCTGATATTTATCATTTTATCTGATTTCATTAATGTTATTAGTGTTAATTTGGCCAAAAAGACAATATTAAGATTTTTTAGAAAATTAAAAATCAAATTAAACTATTTAAAAATAGTGGGACTAAATTAAATTTAAAAAATAAATAAAAAAATCTAGTTTACTCTATTTAATAACTCAAATTGGATCGATATGATATAATCACTCACACTAACAAATTAATAAAACCACACAATAAATAATATAGTTTAGTTGTTATCAATTTTTTAAAATATGAAATTTAATAAATAAGATTTCAAAAGTCATCATTAATTGAAGTAACGAATAATAAAGAAAAGAGAAATTCTACCATACACTAATATATTTAAAGAATTTTGGAACTATTTTTTTTAATAAGTAAACATTTTGTATTTTAGAATAATTTGATTCTTAAGACGTTTATCTTTTTCATTTGAATATATATTTTCTTAAAATCCTTAATATATATAAAAATATTTGAATTTACTAAAGATATTTTTTTATATATTGAGTCATGATAAATTGAAATTCTACATATTTGTGTGTAAATTATGAAGATTAAGTTGAATAAAAAATTCACAAAATCTTTCTCTGTTCCAACAAATAGAATCTTATTATATTTTTTTCAAAATTATTTTAATTTCTACAAAATGATTCAAAATACTTAAACTAGTATTTGATGAGAAGAAATAATAAATTAATTACTTAAGTTATCTATTTATCAAGAAAACATTACTTAGTATAAAAGAAAAAATAAAGAAAAAAAAACTCATTCTTTAAGTAGTTTTTTAATCTAAAATATTGGTTGTATCAGAACATTCTAATTTATAAGGGTGCGTTATAAGCCCTAAAGAAAAATGAACTGAAATTTAAAAGAGAAAAGATATACGTGACATATGGTTTTTGTGTGACGAAATGAGCTGAAACGTAAAAGAGAAAAGATATATATGTGACGTGGTTTTTGTATGACGATGGAAATGAATACTTATCAGATTTATCATGAATTTCTTTTTCGGTAATATTGTACCTTCTTTTTTTTTTTTTTTTTTCCCTTAACATATACTTTGAAAAGTAAGTCCCTTGGATGAGTCATTGGATCAAAGCAAAGAAAAATTATATATAGATTCGCGAAGGTGAAGTGGTCATGTACGACTCCAATAGGACCAATACCGTGAAGAAGAAGATGTGCTTGTGTTTGCAGAGTTGCTTAAATTCACTTATTTCCTAGGCTGCTTCCTTGTTTCGTGAATTGATTATCTACTTTCCTTTATATATATATATATATATAACCATGATGTCAAATTCTCCCATTTGAATGACCAGTTTTGCCGTTCTAATCACGTGCCTTTGATACATTCTAAGTTCTAAAGCCCAATATTAAATCCTTAAACAAGGAATGGATGTGGGGTTTTGATATTCATCTCTTTTTTCTTTGCATAATTTCTAAGTTTTAGAAAAACTTTACACATTTCTGTGTAACAGTGTTTGTTAGTATTACTCATTCACTTATCATGTTAGGTTGGTAAAAGCATACAATATCCACTTAGAATTTCAAACATTCAAAAGAACTTTCTTTAATTTTTTGGGTCACAATAATTAACCGAGTTGAATTATAAATTTGCTAATGTATCTTAGTGCGTGTGTCCAAAAAGATGGACATTCGATACCGGATAGGTTGTATATATACACTCCAACTCTCCAAATGAGAATACAAATGAAACTATAAAAGTAAATCAAAGAGATACACAAAATGATAAACATAATAAACAATGTAATAAATAATAAAAAAAAAGGAGAGAGAGAAACAAAAGGTTATAAAATGGGTGTAAAATTAGAGATGTACAATTTTTTTTTTGTACAATAGAAAAAAAAAACTTTTATTGTTCCTTTTGAATTTGATACAACATTTTTTGAGAACCAATATTGTAACATTCCAAAATTTTATTTTTTTTATGTATTGAAATTATTAGAAGAGTTACCGTATTTTTATATACGTATTTTACTATTTACATATACGTATTTTACTATTTACGTATATGTATTTTACTATTCATGTATACGTATTTATGAATAGTATTTTACTATTCATATGCATAATTGAAGGCTGCGGAACCGAAGGGGGCTGCGGAATTAAGTTTCAAAATTTAATTAATTCTAATATTTTAATGAATAGTGCATAGTAACTTTAATATTATAATAATGAAATAATATTATTTTAATGAATAGTACATAGTGCATAGTAATTTCAAAATTTCTATAAATAGGGGCCTATGGTTTTGAAAATTCATAATTCTAGAGAGAAGGAAATTCTAGAGAGATAGAAAGGGAGAAAGAAAGAGAGGAGATTCTGCCCTAGTTCCGGTTCCGATTTAAGAAAAAGAGGAGGAGGTTCTGCCCAAGTTACTATTTATCCAGGTACGGGAGAAAAGAGGGTTATTTATATGTAGAATACATGAGGGTATTGGGTAGAATTTCTCAGAAGCATGTTTAATTTATCTGAATGGAAGGCTGAGCCTCCTATTAATTTGTAATTTAAACGTTTTTGATAAAAGACTAAAATGTACATCTTTGTTATATTTTTATTACATGATTTGGAAAATATAAATGGATTCCTAACTAGGAGGCACTGCCACCTTTACTGGAGTTAATTTATATTTTCTCTATTATCATCTGTATATATATTATAACTAAGCGACTCATGAACGGTTGGACCATTGAACTATTAAACATTGAATTATTGACCCTTGGAATATTGAACTTTTGGATTATTGGATTAATGAACTGCATTAACGGACAATTTAGATAAATTATAATTAAGGGAATATAATATGATGTATTAAGTATGTAATAAGTCGAGTGTTGAATCAATAAATATATGACATGTATCATATTTATATATTAATGAACTTGCTTTATTTTGTTGGAATTATTAAGAATGATTGAGGAGTATGTAAACTCTATTTTGTTGTCTTATGTGTTATGCATATGAAATTGCGTAAGTGATAGAAGTTGAATTATGAGTTGAAATGTTGTATGGTTGTGATATGGATGTGATTGTGATGTCTCACATCAATGACTAGGATGGCACGGCCCTGTATAAGTGGTGCTACAGGGAAGGCGTGACCCTAGCATGGTGTGGGATGAGAAAGACAGTTAACACCACCACTTATGTCGTTCATGGCTGCCCTGGCATAGGGTTAATTGCAAGAGATTGTATTGATTGTAATGTGATTGTGTTTCCTCACACCAAAATGGTGAGGGACGGCACGGCCCCTGGGTAAGTGATGCTACAGGGAGGGCGTGACCCCTGGTCTGGTGTGGGTTGAGTGAGGCAATTAACCTGTATCACTTGTGTCAAACGTGGCGAGGTCTTGGCATAGTGTTAATTGTTGGATTGACATGAATTACGTATGTGGAAATGATTATGAGATTGACATGAGTTATAAATATTAAATAATTATGATATTGACTTAAATGATGGATTGAAATATGTTTATATATACGTTTGTATACACTATATAACGAGTTATGATGAGATTATCTTGTAATATGTTTGAATGTACTTTGCATATAGATATTTTCTTTTCTCACCGTATAAATTGTGGATATTTTAGGTGGAGAGGATCCAGCTGCAAGTGGCATATAAGATGCTAGCATTTTATTTTGGGAAATGTTCTGATATTGTGACATCGGGGCAGAGGATTTTAGGACGAAATATTTATATGCATTTGGTATTGTAATATTATTTTGAAAACAATTTGTAAAACTCTTATGTTTTATGTTTTATATTTATATTATTGTGATTATCGAAGTTTCTTATGTGAACCCTGTTACCATAATTTAAATTTTTATTACAATATAAGTTGGGGTAGTAAGGGTGTCACAAATATATGAAGAAAAAAAACAGTAAAGAGAAATAAAGTAATTATATATCATATTATTTATGATGTAACACCTTCATGTCCATGTTGGTAATTAAATCAAGTTATATTTTTTTGGTCACCCTTATAATTTCTGTAAGGGAATTGGGTTGACAACTTTTACGTAGTAAAGTCTTTTTTTTTAATTATATTTTCTTATTTGAATTTAAAATCTTATTTTTAAAATATAAACTCTGTTTTATTTGGAATAAAAACTTAATGGTAAATAGGCTATATTTACTAGGCATGGCAATCTAACTCGTCCTTGTGGGTACTCTTGCCCCGCCCTCGTCCTCGCTCCTATTTTTTTTACTTTTTTTTTCTTTTAAATAAATATGAATAATTTAAAAATAAAATAAAATAAAAGTAAAATAATATAAATTTTTATTTTATGTGCTTTAGATATATGTTTCTTTGAAAATTAGTTTATTAAAAATATTATACTATTGAATGTAAAATCCTATAAGAGAGATGCTTCTCTATGTGAATAGTAGAAACAATATCGAATATCTGTTTTGTTGTATGTGGGTATAAAGTATAAACTAAAGGTGAATACAATGTATTGTGATATCTAGCTAATATGACACAACTCTCATAGTGAAACTAAATCGCCATGGCTTTTTGACTAAAGTGGGGTTGTTTTAAAAGTTTATTAAATAAAAAGTTAATCCATTTAAAAAAGAAAACACCTTTACCTTAGCATTGAAGACAGTGGAGTTAACAACCACTGCACATGCCAGAACATTGTCAGAGAAGACAGCATAATGATGAAGTTTTGGATCATGAATCCTGTGAAATGAAGTTTCACCTTCCTGACAAGTGCCAACTGCTGCAATTACTTTTCCTTTCATATTGGCATTCCATAGTCCACTGAGATCTTTTTGCACTACCACATCATGATCAAAGAGCAGAATCTTATTTAAAGTAGGGAAGATATCTGGCAGGTAGAAACGTAGGTAGTTCAACTCAGACGTATATCTTGGATCACTGGAATTGTGTTCCTTGAATGTGTTGTACTTGGGCAACCATTCAAAGTTCTCTATGCTTTGTACGTGGACTGTGGCTTTGCCAGGAGGGTTTAATAAGAACCACATCCGGATTGCAGGAAGGTTGAGTGAATTGGTCACTACATGGAAAACAAGTTTCTCCTGTTTCTGCAATTTAAAAGTCATCGTCACGCTTTCTTGTCACTATAGATAGACATAGACTTAATCATTAGTTTCCTATTCCATAATGAGAACATTCTCCCAACCATGAAATCAAAATAAAAAAATAAAAAAATAAAAAAAATAAAAAATTTGTTTTTTTACAACATTACAATCAAACCATATCTCATCAACTCGACATAAAGTGACAGGGTTTGATGTACACAAGACAGCATTCTCATTGTAAAGAGTTACTTATTAGGGGATCTTATATATCTTTCGTCTCACCGCATCTCGTGTATTAGTTACAAGTTAGACACTTCTATAAAGTGCTGAGAAGCTAATAAAAGTTGAAAGAACTCTATCCACTAGAAAATCAAAGTTTCTTCATTAGTTAATGATGGATGTGAGGTTATTAGAAATATCTTTTGTAACAAAATATATAAATTAAGTTTTTAAAGAGCTGATTCAGAAAGTGAGGTTAAATTTAGTGTTATTCCATAATGAAAGATCATTTATCCTCCTGTGTTTTTACTGGTTTGACTTCTTAATTCTTCAGAAAGGTCTGCAGCGCCCAGAGCTGCAACTAAGATAACTCTTTCGATGTAATCAGCCATACTTCAAAAATGAAATGCCGAGTATAAGTAAGGTTCAAGGAAGGATAAAAATGAGACCAAATTGGTGAGCGAATCAAGCAATCTTACTACTTGTCCTATAGTCACCCGCTCCAATGGTAAAGAGTATATTAAAGAAAATCCTTAATTGTAAAACAATTATTGTCATATTGTGTCGTATGTATGTACTGCAATTTAGTGTAGAGAAGCAGTTTTGGATGGTAACGAGGAGACTCGAGGGGCGTCAACTGTTCATAGTATCCATAAAGGAAATAACTTGAAAATAATTGATGGCTAAACTTTATAATATTGATTTTGCTAGTATCAGTTTTTTTTTTTTTAATTCAGCAGTTGTTTCAGGGTTCAACATTAGCCAAAAGCAAAAAGCAAAGAACACCTGACTTAAAGGTGAAAAATAAAAAGTTAATCCATTTAAAAAAGAAAACACCTTTACCTTAGCATTGAAGACAGTGGAGTTAACAACCACTGCACATGCCAGAACATTGTCAGAGAAGACAGCATAATGATGAAGTTTTGGATCATGAATCTTATTTTCATGTGGAAGCTTCCGGTCCTCAGGTCTCAGGGCAAAGTAGTCAGCAGTTAACTGCATAGAAAGACAGTGAAGACCTTTTGGGGTGGTCCTTGCAGCAAGATGAACAAGATATGTTGCTTGTTGTCGGTGAGAACGAACTTGCTCTTCAGCATTATGATTCATTGCACGGAACTTAGAAGCCATAGAAGTACAGTCTGGGAAAGCACGATTGGCTTTAGACAGTGAAGCCTCCATGTGTCGCATTTTCTGCAAAGCACTGTGAACTTCACTTGTTTTCAGATTGAAAAATATCCATTTTCTTTTAACAATTCATATCACATCAAAATGATACACGTGAATGTTCTCCTTCATTTTGTAAACAGCCCTAAAGGCGTAAATAGTTTTCAAACAGCACCATTTACGTAAATAACTTCCTATTCAACACTACTTTGGTCAAAAAGCCAATCGCCATGCACCTTGAGATCCTCAGGCATCCTCGATGAACTCAACGTTGAGCAGAACCAAGTGCATTTAGTGCCTTGCCATCTGATCAACATATATATGCAACAATGAATGGATCAAAAAATACATATGCAACAATGAAGGATGATTACCATTGGTTAATCACGAACAAGCAAAAAAAAACATAATAAAAAAGAGTGAGCATATCCGCCACAGGTACGTACTATACGAAAGTAACATGTTATAATTTTTTTTTTTTTATCATTGTAAATTCATTAAGATTTTTAATGTCATGTAAAACTGATGTATGACGATTACCATTAGTAATGTTAAGTCTTTTAAAAAAAAATTTAGTTTGTACGTGTTGCATGTAACTATATTTTCAAATTTCAATTTATTACATTTTATTCGACAGGATTGAAAAATATATAAATATTTTTGTATGAAATTTGATGTTTAATTATATATTTATCACATCAACTTAATTTTATAATTACTCTTCCATCATTATATATTGATCACCACAAAGATATATTTACAATTTTTTAATATTAATTTTAGCAAATTTTAAGAAATACATGAAATATAGGAGTATTTATGGAATATTAATGAAAATCTAAGATAATCATAATAGTATGTATATCAGTGAAAACAAATTTTACTTGATAAAGTAGAATTAGATTCATAATTTACAATAATATTAAAATTTATTTATTTTAATGATTGTTTGTAAATTTATCATACCATCAGTTATTTAGGTGATTATGGTGTAAATAAACGTTATGCTGGTGATGTCTAGTTAACATAATAGTCTTCTTTAGTTTTAGTCGTCTTCCTTTTCAAACCCAGGTTGCGCGTCTTCTGTGTTTGGAGTCCAAGGCAAAGGCATTCTATTTTCAAATTTTCAACCTTCAAACCATTCGCAGTCAAAGCAAAAGCTACAGCCTAGAAGGCTCTAAACTCCAACCTCCATATATATAAACCTCCGTTGCGTGTCTCCATTTCTCCCATCTATATATCACAACCTCTTTTACCTGTGATGTCAGTTAAATCGTTAAACTCCTTCAAAAGCACGAGAGATTAATTATACACTCTATCAAAAAATATATATAAAACGATCAGCATTTCTTTCTGTTTCTTCATTCTCTTACATACACACATATACATGGCTTTGTCTTCAAGGAAGATCCTCTTCACAGTTGTGCAGCTTCTGCTGATGACCCTCTTCATTTTTGTTGCTTCTCCGGAATCTGGAGTAGCTTGTAGGCCATTACTTTTACATGGACAGTGGCTGAATGAACCTGGCCTTCTTTGGCAGTCGCTTCCAAACGCTCCGGCGCCACCGTCAGGTGGAGATCCCATTCACTCCTAAGCCATGCATCGTGCATTGAAGCAGCGTCGTGGTCATTAGGCTCGCAAAAATATTACCCTCATTCTCACTCCACTTTTTAGTTTAATATATACGTTCTCCGATTCATGCTGAACAAGTTTCATAAGGGTGCATTACGTGTTGTAGGGTTTCTATACTTTTGAGAAGAAAAAAAAAAACAAAACATTTTTTATTTTATTTTTATAAATTATTACAAGACATTAATTTTCACTTGTTTTATGTTTTTAAAAATTTGTACAGGAAATAGTAATTACAAATTTTTAAAGCATGGAATATGTGGAAAATAGGATATATAGTCTTATGATTGATCAAAATGAAAAATATTTACTCAAATCAAAGATGTACTTAAATTATTCGTTAATTAATTAAAATATGTATTGCCAATTCCATCCTGTAATCACATTCCATAATAATTCTTTTAACTTTATTAGCTCCATTTTGGTGATCACACCAATATATTTTAATTATTCTCTTGAAAAATATGTAATAAATATGTGTGCGTGCTTGCATGAAATTAATTTATCAAGGCTTAAATAAAATCTTTTGATCTCTCACGAGTCACGAGTGACATAATAATGTGGTGCGAAAAAAAATTATGAGTATTAATTTATTAATAATATATATATAGTTTTTATTTAAAATAATAAATATATTTACAATTTTATTTTTTACCCAAAATAATATATATATATATATATATATATATATTAATTTTCTTAGTTTAATGAATAAGCGTTGACGAAAAAAAGAAGAGCTAGGAATTCAAATCTTATTTTTTAATATTTAATTTTTTATATGTCACATCATTATTTCACGACATTGATACATGTATTTATGTAATCTCTATCATATCATTTCATGAACCTCATCCGTTGCAAATATTTATCAACAAAAAATTATAAGAATTAATAGGTGAGTATGGATTCTTTAATATTTATTTATACAATAATATAGATGAATAGATGAGAGATCATAAGTTTGTTTAGCACTCATCCAGTATTGAAAGATTAATTTTTTGGTTATTGATATAACGTATACTATGTTGAATTTATTTTGGGTTTATGTACCCCTTGTACCTAATTAATATAATTATCTTTGGTGTCCAAAAAAAAATGTTGAATTTATTTAAATGATCTAATTTATAACTAGGATATAAAATTACGAATTTTGGATAATTTTTTTATTAAGTTGATGCTGTTTTTTTATTTAATGTTTTGTCAAAATTTCATTGTTTACTTTTTGTATTAAAATAATATTTTATTTTACTGATCTATTAATAATATAAAAAGCACATTAAAAGTATAATTTGTTTAATTAGAATGTAAAGACTGTTAGTAAATGGAACATTAATATGTGAATATAATTTTAACTCGTCCTAAAAAAAATGTTTAAGAATAGTTCATTTTGGAGGGGGGATCAGGGAAGCCATATTGCAAATATAGAAGAACGGATATTTGATATCTAAATCCATCTATTTTCATCCTTAGACATTAATAGCATATGGAGATTTGTTTATTCTACACAGAAGTTTTTTAAAAAATTTCTTTGCATTTAGAACTTTATTCTTTATTATTCAGTTTATTGTTAAATACAAGCTTTTTATTAAAAATCTTTAAAATGATTTTATTGAATAAATAAGCCGATAAAATATGAAATATGTACTTTACCTTTTTTCCTGATATATATATATATATATATATTTATTTATTTATTTATTTATTTGTATTTTTCTATAAAAAAAATATATTTTGTATTTTTTGGGAGGGGTGTTTCATTTTGTATCTGCCATGAAAAAACTAAGTAGTTTAGTGACTAAAATATTCTGTCGCTATATTATTATTTTATTTTTGTATTTTTTACTAAACCAACTGATCAGCGGAGATATATATATATTATGAAAATAAAAAAAGAGCAGGGCTTATATCAATTTATAAGAATATCAATATATATACTTACGCGTATGCATGGATGTTTGGCGTCTTAGTTACTCTTATTTGATCCTTTCTAATTTAAGTTGAAATTTCTGACCTTTTCAAACCGTGAGAAACACTAATGAGGTAAATGTAAGACACGTTCTTGTATAAGATAAGACCATATAGTTTTTTATGTATAAAAAGGCTATATAATTTTTTTTAGGAGCGTAATGATAGCTTTTTTTTTTTACAAATTCATAATGGATAACAAAACTATTTCGCCAAATTAATGTTTAATATTATTACGTAATCAAAATTCAAATTTGAGATCATTTAAATTAAAATAATTTTAAAATAAGTAGCCAGCGATAACTCTCTTCACTATGCATATATCAATTACTTTATATTGAATCAGTGAATTTTGATTTTGTATGACTTTCTGACCGCGAAGATGGTGCTAAGTTGCTTCCTATCAAAATATTTTCTTTGATCGCTATTTTTTCTTTTTTATTTGATTGCTATAGATCGAGTCGTCCAACTATATACTAGTGAATTGAATTCACTCTTTTCCTATGTTGCTTCGTTATGTTTTGAATTAATCAAAAGTTATTTTTCCCGTCACTTGGATTTGAATTCCCTTCCATCGTTAGTATGACCAGATTTGCCGCTCCAGCCACGTGTCTACTCGTACACTTGGGAGAAGATGGAAGAAAAATATAAATATAATAATATATCACTTTCATGTTTAGATGATGAGGTGAAATAAAATAAAGAAAAAGTTAAATTATACTTTTAGTTCTTTTTATTTTTATCAATTTATAATTTTAATATTTTATTTTAAATAAAAAAATTTATCTCTTTAATTTTAAAAATATAAAATTTTATTTTTTTTAATCATATTGACATCTATTAATTATTAAATTTTAATATTTACTTATATTTAAATAATATAATATTTAGTAACATGACATTCAAAATTAAAAAAAATTTAAAAATATAAATAAATTTTTATTAATAAAATAAATATCAATCACTCATAAAAATAGTTACAAATAAAAAAATTTTGTATGTTATTTTTAATTTTTAATTTTGTACATCATATTATTAAATACTATATCATTTAAGTGGTGAAAGATTATCAAATAATGTTAAAATTTAATAATCAAAAAATATCAAATCGATGAATTAACCAAAATTTTATATTTTTTTTTTTGATTCGTCCCTGGAGTATCCACCGCCGACAGCAGTGACTAATCTCCTCGCTATGCTGGAGGCACCTCAAAGGGTGGGATAACTGGCCCCAAGATTTAACGCGGCTGCATACACAAGGCAGGATTCGAACCCCTGACCTAAAAAATAAAAGGTTAAATTTTTTATTTTAAAATAGAGAAACCAAAATTATGGATCAACCAAAAATAAAAGGATTAAAAATGTAATTTAGTATAAAAAAAAATTGTAACAGGGAAATGGGTCTTATTCTACGAAAATTTTGGTATAAGGTTATTTCTTAAAGGTATATGCATGTGCTTTGAGAAATCTCTTGGGTCGGTTGCTAAATGAGGAAAATCTCG